TTTATATTTCCTGAATCATCTCAGAGTAGGTGGCTATCCCGATGCCCCTTCACCTCTGAATACATTAGTGTGCATTATCTACCCACAAAGACATGTCCTGCTTAACCATGATACAAACCTCAAAATCAGGAAGTTTAAATTGATATATCACTACTCTCTCATCTTCAGACCTCATTCAAGTTCACCAGTTGTTCTAAAAATGATTTCTACTGCATAAGTATTCAGTTTAGAAACTTGCACTGCATTTAGCTATCATGTCTCTATAATTCATTTCAGAACAAAACTGTTCTTCAGTCCTTAGTCTTTCCTTTACTTATACAACTTTGATACTTTGAAGACTACAGACAAGATATTTTGTAAATTGCTTCTTAGTTTGCATTTTTAATGTTTTCTCATGACTAGAATAGGTTATGCATCTTTCACAGAGATATCACAAAAGGTATGCTGTGTTCGTTTCCTTGCATCCTACCAGGTAGGACACCCTTTTCATTTATCTCATTACTAAGGATGTTCACTTTTATTCCTTGATTAAGATGGCATCTGCTAAGCTTCTCTACTATAAAATTACTCCTTTCCAATTTGTAATTAATAAATATTTTATAGGGAGATATTTTGCAATGATGTGGCTATACTATTCCTCATAAACTTTCGGTGTGTTCATTTATATCAATATATACTCCTGGTTTCCTATTATATTCAAAAGGTCATAATACATCACTATCACTATTTATTTTGATGCTCAAATTTTCTCATATTTGACCAGTGGGAGTCCCTTCAAGCTGGTTTCTGTGCCTTTTAACATGTTTCCATCATCCTCTGAATACTTCTTTTGTTCTAGCACACCATGTACTTTCACTACCCCTGCTCTGGGATCAGCCAGTTCTCCAAGGAGTTCTGGTTCCTTCTAGCAAAGAATGGTATTTAGAAGTCAAGATATGGGTGATCAGTGTTCTCACTGTTATTGAGATGTTAACTACTCTCAGGCCCCCTCAATGGACAGAGTTAGGGTGAATTAATATTTCTGTCTATTATTTATTTCTGTATCTACCTCTATATATTGAAGAGCATAAGCTAATACTGACACATCTAATTCTAATTCAATATCATAGGGTTTATTCTAATTTTCTCCTTTTCTGTACTGTAGCTTCCTTCAATAGTGAGGTAGACTGGCTCCCATTATCTTTAATATAATTACTTAATTAATTTCCCATCTGCACTAATATGTCTTCCCCTATGCAGATGCCATTCTTACTTCACTCTAACACCCATGCTGGGCCATCCCAGGACACAGATGTCCTCCTCACCTTGCCTGGACTCTGACAGCCTACTCCAGGCCTTTCTTTCACATAGGCACCTCCTTGCTAGGCTAAGGTTCAAAGGACCCATGTCATGTCAGGCTGCTGCCCTATGATAGACTGCATAATGGACCCCCAAAGATGTCCACATCCTAGTCCCCTGAATCTGGGACTGTTGCTTTATATGATACACACACACACACACACACACACACACACACACGCACACAAATTCTCAGATGTGGTTAAGTTAAAAATCTTAAGAAGGAGACAATATCCTGAATTATTCAAGTGGTCTTAATGTAATCATGAGGGTCCTTATAAGAGGAAATAGGGAATATCAGACTCAGAGAGAATGAGAGAGGCTGGAAGACACTGTTCTGCTGGCTTTTGAAAAGGAAGAGGCCACTAGCTGAGGATTGAGAGTGGCCTCCAGCAGTTGAAAAAGTCAAGGAAACAGATTGTCTCCTAGAGTCTCCAGAAGGAACAAGCCCTGCCGATGCCTTGATTTTAGCCCACTGAGCCTAGTTTTGGATTTCTGCCCTCCATGATGATAAGATAATAAACATGTGGGGTTTTTTTCAGCAACTAAGTTTGTTGTCACTTATTACCAAAGCAATAGGAAACTAATATGCTCACTCACCTCTTCAAGGACCTTCTCCTCATTCTGCTCAGGTTCTGATACCTTCCACACCAGGTTTCCTCCCTTCACACTGTGCCTGGAATTTGGCTGCCCATCGTGGGCAATTACAGATGTCTACCTTACTCTGATGCGCTTAATTGATTTAGAATAATATTGTTCAAATGGGAAGAGAGGAAGAGGAGAATGAAGAGAACAGGATAAGAAAGAACAAGAAAATCCATTGACATTTCACGCTCAAATTTTAATTGCCAAAAATTGCCCTACCAGCAAGGATATGCCAGCAATTTCTGAAAGTCACTAAGGGTGGGACATCATACGATAAGGGCTCTCACACTGCAAGCCCAGGCTGCTGCCCCAACTGCTTACAAGATTAGGGAGATACCTGCCCCTGCTGGCATTGAGAGAGGAAGCTTCCCCTAAGGTCTCTTAGTCTAAAGCATGGTCCATCCCTCCTACAAGCTCCATCACACTTCTGAAACTAGGTGTGTTCATAAGAGAAGAAACATACAAGATAGGGAATAATTGACAACCACTGCATAGGCCAGTCTCAACTCAAGTTCTCTTAAAGGATCTTCTCCCTGTCTCATTCCCTGCTATCATCACAACACCTAATACAGTTTGTATCTCTTCATGTCTCACAGTCTGGGCCAAACTGAGACCAACCTCAGTGAGAGAGAATGTTTTATCCAGCCCTAGACTAAAATTCATCTCCTGGGGCTTCATTCCACATGGTATGATTAATCACTTCTCAAGATGATTGATGGTGGGAATTTCCAATCCCTTCCCCAGAAGTATGGTCTGGAAATACAGTCCAGGCAAGACAGTTTCACAGTAGCCCTCCATCTGTTTATACATCAAAGTCTGCATCAGTGAATCTTAATACGAACAAGAGTGGAGACACCAGTTGCAGATCATATTAGCTGTAGTTGTGCCAAAAATAACCCAATTTACTTTCAGTCTTGCTTCATCAAAGATTCAAAAGTTTCAGAATCAGATCTCACCCACTGTCACTTAATTGCCCAATAATCAAAATAATGACCCCTGATTGTTGTCGAAGACTCAAATGATCCTTTGTGGGATTTATTTCACATAATCCTACTGTTGCTGTTGGAGGGTTATGTGAAATTGTTGAGAAGGAAGCCCCAGATGCCTAACCCTCTCTATCCTTGACATTCACAATCTTGCCACCACTGTGTGTTCCATAGTTGATAGAACTAATCTCACTATATCCATTATCTTATGTCGGTGATCATAAGAAGTCTCAGACTCGCAACACATCCCTATGCACTTTCCCTTTTATGACAGCCTCTCTTATTTTGTCTCACTGGGTCTTCTGGAATTTACAGCCCAGAACTAACCAAATCCTTCATATCCTCAACTTCCTCCTTCTCAAAAGATAAACTGGCCCTCCCCTAAGGACATTGCTTCCCCTGAATTCCTCTCAAGTGTGGCTGGTTTTCTCTTCCATCTTCTGGGTGCAGCACACTGGTCTGCTGGTTCTTCTACCATTCCAGGAAAATCTCCTCTTCAGAGCCTTTGCAAGGATATACCTTTTGCCTGGAATTCAAATAGCTACCTCTCTTATTTCTTACAAGTGCTTCCTCAAATGGCATCTCCTCAATGAAGCCATGTATAATTACTCTTTTAAACCTCTAGCCCTCCCACCCTGCCACACATAGGACTTCTAATTTCCCTGTCCTGCTCTCCTTTAACTATTTTTCCATGACACCAATCACCTTAGAGAATGCCATGCAATAGACTTACATATTATGTATTTTGTTCATTGTTTATCTGTCCCTTGCTTAATTTCAAATTCCCCAGGGGCAGGGATCCTTGGCTGTTTTGCTTGAGTAAGGTATCTCAAGGATCTACAACAGCACCAGGCACATAGTAGGTACTCCAATAAATATTTCTTGAGTGAAAGTATCAATTTGTACCACAATATTATGAGGAACACACAATTATTTTTCCGACAATAAAGCTGAAACTTAGACAATATACATAAAGTATTAAAGGTCACACTACTTGTAATGGAATAACTTGGATTCCAATTCAAGCCTTCTCCCTAGAGCTTACACCCACTACTCCACACCCAGTGGTGTTTGCCAGCATTGGATGAGGGAGAGGAAGATTCTGAAATGAAGGAGGGAATAGGAAGGTGGAGAAGGGGCTAGAAATAAATCTCTGTGTGCCAAGCTGAGCAGTTTAAACTACATTCCATAGCAGAACCTCTTGAATAGTGGTTCAAATTGAATAGTGACATAATTAAATCTGTATCTTAGAAAGATAATTCAAAGAGCTGCCAACTGGAAAAGTGAAAGCCAACAAAATGCTAGTGGAAAGAAACACCACATTTAATGGAACCAAATGCAACTCTAAAATTTCCACAGCTAAGATGACTCCCCTCCCTACTAATTCATTAATAGGTAGTTCTTTCACTCCAGTTCTCACTTAGAAAAAGTCTGACACAGCATAAATAGTTGTGAACTTACACTTTATTCATATATATTAGATATTGATAATCTTAACAAATGAGTTACTTTCCATTTGGGTACAGTCACAGTTGTCAACAATATTTGGAAGCACCAGGCATGAAATCTCTTGAGATGTTATGTTTTCATCAGGGTCACCTGACACATTCAAGTTCTGTCTGACAGACCATTAAAGCAGTGGCTCAGAATGCAGGCAAGTTTTCAAACAGGCAGTAACTGGATAGTATCACTTCACTTATAAGTGTTCATTATATCATCAAGTGAAATAAACACACAACCCACAGGATCTTGCTTAGGTTGGCTGCCTAGGTGGCCCCTGAGATAAAGCCTTGTAATCACATAGCCTCGCCTAATTAGTCAGAAAACAAAGGATTAAGTGAAACAGTCACAGGATATAGGAATTATAAATAATACATATATTAATAGATATTCATTTTCATTACACAAAAGTTGCTATTATAAATACTTATTTGATTGATGAGTCTAAAAATATATTCCCCATATAAATAATGTTAAATATTAATAAATAGATTTAGATTTAAAATTCAAATAGTGCAGGCAGGACAACCATTATTGGGATGCTCTTCGACCTCGAAACATCTGACTCCTTTTTCGCTTCCCTATTTTAGCTGCTGGCGACAGTTCAGCCATCACTTGGATGAGTTCATGTACTGCTTTGCGTTGGACATTTGAGTCAGTTACCTATTGGGAAAGAAAAGAGCAAAATTAATTTCAGGCATATAAGCCATCAGGATATTCAGTTAATGGCATGATGGTCAGTGAAAATAAAACTATTCCTTTAAAAAAATGGACCATATTACCTTAATATACAATATTTACTTCTTCAGCAGTTGAGGCTAAAAATTACAATTACATTACTAGTTGTGCAATGATGTGGTGGAGTCCGTCACATATCTTTAAATCTACTCCCATAGAATTCTTGAAATCATATAGTGAAAAGACCCCTGGTGTGGAGTCAATGTAAAAAGGTGGATCTGAATCTCATGCGTGCAATAATTCTGACCTTGAGCCAGCTACTTAACCTTTTGGAACCTCTATTTTCTCATCTAAAGGAAGAGAAGACTGTTTCTATGACCTCTCTATCATCAATCTACCAATTATATCACTTTATACTTTAGTCTCTCCTGTATGTATCAAACGAGTAACTATAGGTCAATGATTCTCACTGTTGTGCATAGCAGATTAACCTGGAAACCTAATAAAGACCTCAGAGATCCAGGGGCACGAATTGGAAGGACTGTGTCCTGTGCATTCACTAAGCTCCCCAGGTGATTCTGACATCCACCTAAGTTTGAGAACCACTGATCTAGGTTAGGTACCCTAGAAAACATCAAATCCAAAACAAGTGAAAACTGTAATTTTTAATTTCTCCCAGATTAGGTCAGTCTCTCAATTTCCATAATAGGTTTTAAAATAACCACCAATCATATTTATATATGGCTTACTGATATATAAAGTTTAAAATTAGGAATTGCAACAACTTTTTCAGTACCCTACCTTCTAGGCCAGCAAATTGAACTACTTGCATTTCCTCACTCTAACTAATAGGGCCATTTAGGTGATTTCATTCTTCCTAAAATGTGGACCATTTACTTTCCTCTTGACTCTGCCATTATATTTTTTCTAATCTTGGGAACACTATGGCTACCTCGCCACATTTCTGAGGATGGCTGGGGGATTACAGGCTACAGGGCTAATTATGAAAGGGCATAACATACCTCAGCTTAGCAACTGAGCCAAAGAGAACAATAATTAATAGAGCTCACTCAAGATTGCCCATCAAGAAACAGGAGGTTTGTAGCTTCCAGAAGGAAGAAACCCACAGATTTTTTTTTTCACTTTTTTAAGGCCCAGTTCCTGCGGAGTAGAAAAAGTTTTCTACAAGCTGTGTGTTTGCAAGTGACAGATTTTACTTTCCAGTGTTCAAATCATCACCAAGAAACTAAGAGACTTATCCAGGACGGAACAGTAAGCCAGGGGCACCACTGGGTTGGTGGCAAGTGCTGAGTGTCTAGTTTCTAACCAAAGGAGACCTGTTGCCATGTCTCTCCTTTCAGTTTCTGGGGGTTCACATGAGAGGAGTGAGAGGCAGGCCCGGCAATAGTGAAAGCTGAGCACAAATCCTAAGAGCACAAATGCCAGCTTGAGCTCTCATTTGAGCCCATTTATATCAAAGCCAATCCCAAAGGAATCTAGAGGTCTTTGTCTTCTAGATAAAATTTTGAAAAACGTGTTTTGTCTTTATGCCTCAATGTTATCTTTCTGTTTATAGAAGGCATAATTTAAAGATAATTTAAAGATACAAGTTCATGAGGTATGACTTAGGAGTCTAAGGAGTTCTCCAGCTGAGATATTCTGAAAGTTGATAGAGACTTGATAGAACAATGTTTTCATAAGCTATAAATTCTACCTATTTTTCCCTAAAAACAAACAGCAACCATTCTTGCTTCTAATTAGGCAGTACAATCTGATAGGTTGGCTAGAGACTTGCAGTGGGGTGCACTGGTACCTACTCAAAGGCTGTAGCTTTCTTCTATCTCATTCTCATTTTCTATTCTTGGCATTGTAGAGTTTTGGAGCAAAGAATGTCATCAAACTTATGCAGTGAACCTAACAGTTTCCTTTTAAGATGAGGGCACTGAGCCCCAGCCAGCCATGTGATTCATCACAGTTCCCTGGTGGCTGAGATGGGAGGAGAACACACATCTTCTCAGCTCCTCCCACTGCTCTTTCCATTAAGACAGACAGCCTCTCATTCAAAGTAAGAGAATTTCCATCATATGAGCAAAGGACAATGAGAGAATTGCTTCTCAGTACTCCCCACTACTTCCTCACCTACTTCCTCTTCATTGGATTTGTCAATTCACCTGTCTTTACACAATAGTTACAATGCCAGCATTTTTCTACATTACATACTTCAGTGATTCCCATACTGGCTTTGCAAAGTCATCCAAACACAAATAGAATTAGTAAGAGTTTCAGCTATGGGTTGAGTTCATAGCTTTAGCAACTGTTAAATAGCTAATGTCTACTTTCTGGAGAACAAATGCTTTGCAAGACCTTCCGCAATGAAACCAAAGAAAGAATTTAAAGAGCCTTACCGAATAATTGGTCAGCTTTTCAAAGTCATCCCGTTTCTTTTTGTTGCTATTGAAAAACTTGACATTAATGTCTTCCTTGATGGTCTCCACACTCTTTTGGATCCTCTGGTCATCTTTGAAGTTTTTAAAAAGTTTGAAGTAAAAGGAGACAATTTGGCTCTGCATTATTTTTCTGTCACTCTCCTTGGAAGGAAAGAACACAAACAGAGGATGATGTGTATTTATCCATCAGAAAGCAAGCAACAGGAAAATTAGCCAAATGGGAATATTCAGCTTACCTCTTTCCAATTCCTCAAGATGTCTAAGAAAAGAGTTCCATTATCTGCTACATCTGGATCACCTGCATTCTGGGGGAAAAAAAAGGGTTTACAATTAGCCCATAAATTGTCTTAAAAATATATTTCAAGTTTCATTAAACTCAGATGTGACAATATTCACTGATTTCCTTTTCAATTCTTCTGCTTAGTTCTAACAATAAGTGTTCACAAAATGTTTATGTGAGATATAGCCAAAGACTACTATGCTCTTTTAGCTTTTTTATTTTCCAACATAACCATTAAATTGCAATGTCACAAAGGAGTTAAACAAAGCTGATGATACTCCAAGGGTCTCAAAAACTATAGTAGGCTAAAGAAAGTATTTTCAAGCTAGGCTAAAAAATACAGAACAAAAAACAGCAAAGCCACCCCACTATAAAATACTGCCCCCCAATGGCACAGGTTTCTATTACATCTACTATGCCTTCCTGTAGGGTATTATGTCAACTTTAAAAGATAGTTCCAAACGTGTGCGTGCGTGTGTGTGTGTGTGTGTGTGTGTGGTCTGATTTTGTGTTGTAGGAATAAAATTAATTGTGAATGTCTGAATATTAGTATGACAGCTATAATTATAACTAAGTTTTAAATAAATAATGAAATATTTAAAATGTAAAAACTTTTCATTAACCATCAATAAAATTTTAAAAGAAACTCAAAAAACTCACTTAAAATTTTTAAACATTCCATAGCCAGAATCATAATTCCTACAAAATCCCAGTGAGCAACTAAGTTCAGGAGTAATTCACAAGGAATATAGATAGAGCAGCAGAATGTTGAAATAACTTTTTGGAGAAAATCACCTATCAGTGATTTTTTTTAAGCCAAAACTTTAAGGACCTTTTTTACTTTAATTTGTAAACGTTTCCTATTAACTTTTGAATGCTAATCTTGACCTTAGAGTCTGAGAAGTCAAAAACTAATAGCCAATCATTTTTTTCAATATGCATACTCCTTGACTTATCACATCTGAATGAGTTCTCACCACAAAATTATTAACATCATTATGCTTCATATCCATATTATGCCCATCTTTGGGAAGATTCATAAATCCCTTTTAAGTCTCTATACAAACTGAGCAGAAGGTTAAAACAATATCTAGATTATGTAGTCAAGAAACTCATCCAGTCAATAATTAACAAAATAAAACCAGATCTCAAAATGACTGCGTACGAGAGGACAGTCTATCAGAGATGCTACAGCAAGTCAATATTCAGACATTTTCAACCACAAAAAAGTACTATTAAAAAGCCATACTTACAAAATATTTCTTAAGGTTTTCTGCTTCTTTTACATATGGGTCCTGGCAGTAACAGCCAAGAGAACCCAAAACAATGCAGAGCTGAAAAGCCAAGATATAACTTGTGTATTTCATCGTTTCAGAGAGAGTTAAGCCAAAGAAGTTGAAATCAGAAGTTCTTGTATCAAGTTGATCGGGTCCAAAGGGCTTAACTGACCTTTCTCTTCTAATAGCTGATCTTCAGATGATCAGAACAATGTGCTGCACCTCCTTTGGCTGCTGGTATTTATACCTAATTGAAGTCTCCTCAGGATTACGTATTTTCACAAGTTTTTTAAGATGAGATGGTGACAGATAGGCAGGGATGCTAGTTTGTATTAATAACTAAGGTTTTGTGGCATTTGGGTGTTGTAGTTAGAGTTTCCTTTAGACTCCTTGGGTCCTTTGACGATGAGACAGACCCATTATGCCCACCTGTGCCATTCTGGTGGGATTCTTTGAAGGCACTTTTACTTCACACCATTCAAGGACTGGAAATTTTTTCGCACCTCCCCCCTTCACCCTGGTAAAATGTTGACTCCTCATTCACAAAGCACATTGATCATTTGCTTGTGGTTGGGAACAAGTGAAAAAGGAAATTCTAGGGCCTCTCAAACCTTTACAAAGGGGGAGCCTTTTAAAATTTTTCTTGCAAATGACCAGAAAGCAAGGAAAGAATGTGGTTGAAAGACCAATTTGGTGAGGAAGTCCTTCATCAGTGTTGGTTAGTAAAATATCTACCACAAGTTTCAAAGTGCTCTAGATCAGCCCTGCCCAGTAGAAATACAATACAAGCCACACAGGTAAATTTAAATGATCTAGTAGCCTCATTAATAAAAGTTTCTTAAAAAGGTAAATATAATTTCTAAATACATTGTATTTAAACCAATATATCCCAAATATTACTTCGGTATGCATCAGTATACTACATTATTAATAAGGTATTTGACATTCTTTTTGTCATATTAAATCCTTGAAATACAGTGTACAGAATATTCCCATGGGGAGGGCCAGGCACAGTGGCTCACACCTGTAATCCCAGCATTTTGGGAGGTCGAGGTGGGTGGATCACAAGGTCAGGAGTTCAAGCCCAGCCTGGCCAATATGGTGAAACCCCGTCTCTACTAAAAATACAAAGAATTAGCCGAGCATGGTGGTGCATGCCTGTAATCTCAGCTACTAGGGAGGCTGAGGCAGGAGAATTGGTTGAACCCAGGAGGTGGAGGTTGCAGTGAGCCGAGATCATGCCACTACGCTCCAGTCTAGGTGACATAGTGAGACTCCATCTCAAAAAAAAAAAAAAAAAGAAATACAGTCTATATTTTATACCTACAGTGCATCTCAATTTGGTCTAGTCATATTTCAAATGTTTAATGGCCACATATTGCTAGGTGCTACTATATTGGACAGCATAGCTCTAAACAATTTATTGTTCCAAATAATCAGTATTAACAGAGAATCTTTTTAACTTTTTATTTCTTTGTCTTTCAGATACAAATAAAAAAGGATTATTTCTCCTCCTTTGTAATTTATTTATGAAGTACAACACTTTGGGATGGCACAAAAAGCCCTCCACTCTTTGGTTCCAACCCACTTTGCATTTCTACCTGCACTGTGTACATAACAGCATTGCGGTTATGGGGGCAAACTTGATTCCTGACTCCCATACTATCTAGCTATATGATTGTGAGTTAGCTTCTTAAATCTACTATGACTCAGTCTCCTTATCTGTAAAATTGGCTTGATAATAGTATCTTCTTCCATGCTTCAGTTGAAAATTAAATCAGATAACCCTCATAAAGTGCTAGGAATTTTTCCTGGCACATAGTAATCACTCAATAAAAGTTTATTATTATTCTGGCACATTGGATGACTGGTCATTTCTTTAAAAAAAAAATACCCTGTACCTTTGCTCATGCTGTTTCTTTGGTCTTGAGTTCTTTTTACTCTCATTTGTGCCCCTGAGAGTAGTAGCCATTCATCCAAGCCCAGCTTAAAAATTATCATCTCCCTGAGTTCTTCCAAAATTATCCTCCCTAAAATTAATCTTACATTCTCTATAAAAGTCTTGGTGTATACATTTCTAAGAGTTCTGATTCCTCAGTCTTGATTGAAGATAGTTATTCGTGTGTCTTCTCCCATATTAGATTGAGTTTCTGAAAATCAGAAATTGTTTCATTGCTTTTATGATGGCTTTCTCTTCCTTAAAATATTTTGGCATGGAGATTTGCTCATAAACAGCACTGAATAAATGTAAATTCAAATGCTTGCCTAAGGATCTCTTTTGAATTATTTGCCCTCAAGTTCTAATTCTGATGTTATCAGGCCTAACCTATAAGAAACTAGTTTTTAATTAAATAATATTTATGATTAATGTTAGAAACATGATGCTCTGTCTCTTTAGCCACTTGATGACTGGGACAATTTTGTGTATTCTTTTATGTGGAAAAAAAGCCAGAAAGCTCTTTGAGGGGCAATCTTCCCAAAGAATGAATAAGATCAAAACATTTATGTGGAGCCAAACCTCATGTTAAGCAAGTGAAGAATGTAAAAATTACATTGTTTTATTCAAAGCTCTACTATTGCTCTGCTCAAGAAAAATTATGTCCAGAGAATGTGCTTGCAGGTGGCACAGGGATCTGGGTCCAAGCCTGAGACACACTGCAGGTTCTCAATACCTTCTAATGGTCAACCTCTGAGTCACTGGAAGGAATGTTCCCAGCTTTCTGGAAATAAGTAAAACTTAGTTCTGCCTGGTCCTTGATTGCTTCACTGGAATGTAGTACTAGGACTGAGGAGTTAAGAATAGTGGGATCCATAACAGGGAATGATACGCTGCGTAACCACTTGTAAATTGAGAATGCCTGTTCAAAATAACAGATTATATTGTTTACAGTGTGGCCGGATGTTTATGAAGAGTAATTACATGGCTAAAATCCAAGCTCTAGTAACTCTTGATTGCACGGCCAAGCACAGAATTATGGAATTATGGATTATCTATGGTCAACCTCCTTACCTTTTAGATTTGTAAATCAAGACCCAGAAAAACAAGTGATGTGCTTAAATTCATTCAACTGGCTAATGCAGAACTGAGTCTAAATCCAAGATCTTCCCACAGAGGATGAAACCTTTAGTCAATATATCCCCCAATCTATCACTATCCATTGAGACTATTGTATGTGCCTCTACATTAGATATGTGAATTCAAATAATTACACCCTATCAGGCTTTACTTTCTGGAACTTTTTTTCTGTAGAATTTGTGAGATAGTAATCACACTTTAATTCCTTAAAACATAGTAAGACTGCAAATATATTTTGAAATTGTTTTTGAAATATATTTTTGAAATTTTTGCCTAGACATCCCAGCCAACTCAACTTCATGGGCATGCAACCTGTGCAGTCTGTCAGAACCCTGAACTTAGAACAGCCCACACTTGGTTTAATGCTCTGTTGTCACTTTCTTGAAATTTCTAATAACTCTTCAAACAACGGACCCACATTTTCGTTTTGCACTTGTTTCCACAAATTATGTAGCTCATCCTGCATTCCAGGCTGGAAGTGAAACATCTGCTATTGGATTTTCATCTTTCAACATATGATTTTTTGGCTCAGAACATTATCACTACAATAAGTATATCCATTTGTGATCTTTTCCTGTCTTGTCAACTTTGCAAACAAAGAAACTTCTCTCTCTTTTCTGCCTGTAAAACACCTTTTGTTGCACATGCAAACTAGAGGTTTCACACTTTGTTGGTTTGGCCAGTTCTGAGACTGCAGAATAAGTCACCATCAAGATATACTTTAAAAGTTTTGCAAACCCACCAGGAGCCAAGGTGTGACCATATTACTAAAACAGAGGGGCTGAAAACTTTCTTTTTTCTTTTCAACCAGACTTTTTTTTCTGAAAACTGGCTATGGTTATATATGACACGTCAGGAAGATTTCAATCATATCTCATGCTATCCTCAGTCTTAACTGAGTAGGTAGTCAGTAAGCCAAAACTTACACCTTGGTTTCCCTTTTCCTCTGTCATCAGCAGTCACATCCTAGTACTCACAACCAAATTATCTCATCCAGACTTCGGTGTAGATTTCTTCCACTCAATATGAGTCAATATTGGATCCATGCCCCCACGCTATTTTGACTCCCGGAACTCCTGACATCATGCAAGCCAAACCTACGGAAGAAGAATGACATACAGAATGGAAGTCCACACGGAGTCAGATTTTCCCCGCAATTTGACTCATAAAATCCCGTAAGTTAGAGGAAGATTTTCTGAATCCCCCCTTTTCTTTTGTGCCTTCTGGCCAATTTTGAGGAGTGGTTCAAAGAATATAGAAGGTATGCTACTTACACAGTACAATCATCAGATTACAATATTCTTAATTTTATATCAGATGGGATTGGGCATTGATAATCCAGAGATTCATGGTCCTGCTTTAAAGGTTGTATTTTTGTTTCACAAGGAATTTTAATGCACCAAGTGCCAAATACTTTGATTGATATGGGGTTACCAAAGACGGATGGAAAGTTCTATTGTGAAAACGTTGGTTTATATCCCAATTTCAATTAATTACTATGTCCTTATTGAATTGAATGCCTACTAGATGTTCATAGCTTTAGGGGTTACAGAGAAGTCAGCAGTGAGACAATCTGGTAGAAGCATATGTCACCACATTGGAAGCTAGGATTGATTCTCCTGTTCTTGTTGCTGAATAGGTAGAATAGGTGTCCATATTCCCCATCTCTTCTCCATGTATATCCTCTCCAGGTGGTTCACATAGTTGAGAGGACTTATTGGTCAGAGGGAAATACACACATTGATATATGTATTGTGTTTCTTCCTCCTATACCCAAGGCAGACCTCACTAATCAGTCATGGCATTCCTTTCTATTAAATTCAGATATAACTGCTGAATCCTTCTCAACACTGAAATCCAGATAGATACTGACTTATTTGTATTTCATTGCCTATTTTCCCTATTAGGGCAAAGGGTTACTTGTTGTTATGCCTCTTAGTTAGATCATCCAAATGGGTTCATTCAACTTACAAAGAAGTAAAAGCCATAATCTCTTCCTCCAAGAAAATTAGTA